AAAAATCTGAACAATAAACGTAATTCTGAGTAATTTTTACAATTTTCTACTCCAGTTAGCCTCCTGGTACCCTTTATATTCATCTCGTGACCTCCGGCGGGGCTTTCCACCCACAGTTTGGGAACTACCGGCTCAAATGATTAATTAACCGAGGTTGCTGGTGTTTACTATTCCACAAATGGACTGACTAACTGTTACAGCATTAATCATAACATCGACCGGAGGCTGGTGGCAGACTGGCTCTGCCTTCGCCGCTGAAATTGCGTCAACAAACCTCAGACTAGACCTTGTGCCGCTAAATTTCTTTCCGTCATCCGGCTTGTGACGGCCCGAGGATGCAGCAGAGGAAGCTGAGGTACGCTGGACATCAAAGATCCAGCTGGTGAAGGTCAGCTGTTGAGCGTTTGTGGCCACGTCAGCGCTACAACCGGTAGCTCCGAGCGGCTAATGAGGGCAGCCAGGGGTTTTGGATGAGGAGAAAGAACTCCACCTGGGTTCATAAGTGAGTAAATGAGTCTAGAGGGTGGAGGGATGCTGAGATTCACTCCTGAAGCCTCTGGAGGTGAAACACTGACGAACGATGGCGCCCAATCGTGACACCTTGAGCCACCCACTTCTCCTGCAGACTGTAAGGGAGCTCGTCTGCTATAGAAGCTACACCACAAGGTAGGAAGTTAAAGAACCTTCACTGTCAGCAGACGCCTGCAGAGTCAAGGCAGCACGTTTAAGGAACATAATTAAGAGATACTAAAAGGTAGCGCAACATAACAGACCAAATCCAATGCCAATGTTAACATATGAGCATTTTAGGAGAAAATGTTTTATTTATTGTCTAAATTGTCTTATTTTAGTAGAAAACATTTATGAAAACAGCAAAATTTGAAAACAGCATTCTTAATTTTGCAAAAAGGTTTTTCCGCTCACTTGAGATGCTATTTTGATTGTTTTTCTAAACGGACATTAATGAACTTTTCTGAGTAAGTGCTGACGTAGTGAACATTTAACTCATGTGACTTTCTTTTGTTGTCCCTGAAACATGGCTGATTCCACCTGAGATGATAAATAAAACTCCTGAATGAAAACTATTTCTGAAGACGTCTCTCCATTTGTTTCTCTCATAGATCGACAAAGTTTTTATCAGTTTCTTCTTCTTCTTCTAGGTTTTCTAGTGAAATGCAAACAGGTTTGGTTTCCGGCTTCTTGTTGTCCATTAATTAAGTGTAACGTAGCCAAAATATTGTTTATGAGCTCCAAAGCACGTTATTGGGACGTTTATTCATTTCAAATTTGCTTGACGATGATATGGGAACACAGCTCATGTCACTTCATTATACAACAGAAAGAAGACAATTCTGCAGAACACAATGCAGTGACAGGGGGAGGGTCGATGAGCATTTTTTATATTCATAGTAGCATCAGCTGAAGCCACTAACTTCCCTTTTCCACCAATCATGCTACAGTACAAATTCACCAGGAGATTTATCAGCTCAGGCAGGATCTCAGTGTTTCACAGCTCCTGAGGACTTAATATTAACATCAGTCATGAGCAGGAGGAGCGAGTGGCGATTACTTTAATCTGTGCTGTTTGTTGTTTTTGTTTTTTTTTATCTTGCTGCTCCAAAAGGCACCAGCGAGCTGTGGCATCGTTTAATTAAAAGTTGGACAGCGAGGACGACGCTTTACATGGCATCATTATGCAGAAGCAAGCGAGCAAACACATTCACAGATTTCGAGCTTTGCACAAACATACTGTCTGCCGTAAGCGCCCAGATACAGACTGTATAGGCGCCATATTGCATCTTCAAACAGCCAGATCTGTTCTTTCACCTTTTGACTGGTGTCGCCTGTTTTTGCCAAAGCCTGAATCCCACAAAAGTCCCACATGATGCACAACAGGAATCTGGCACCTAAACACACGTGTCCCTCTGTACTTGCTACTCAGACGGTCCAAAATGCACATTTGCATGTTTTCAGTGGACTGTGCAGCCTTGACTTTTAAAAAGAAAGATTCCAACAGTGTGAGGAAAGATGGACCTGAAAGCAACAGCACTTTTCACCAAGATTGTCCAAGAGTTCAAGTTAAACCACTAGCAGTTAAAAAAAGAAAAAGAAAAAAGTCTGATCGACACAAAAAAATGACTCCTTAAACTTCACAGACATTTACAGGATTTTAAGATATCCTGCTAACTAGCAATGAAAACCCCTTTTAGCTGGAGGTAATGAAGACACACATGCACACGCTGGTCTCTGAAATTCAAATTAGCGATGTTTTAGATTGTGGACGTTCAGTTTCCCTCTCGAGATGAAACAACCGGAGACAGGAGAGGCCTCCCAGCTGAGACTGGAGCTTTCACACCCGATAAGCTCCTAAAGCCCAGAGGGGCTGCAGGACTCTGGGCCTCAACGTTCCCGTGTTGCTGCTGCTGTTGCTCCCTGTATCGATTTTTTGGAGCGACCGGGCCGGCCGCCCCTTTCATGCTCCAGCAGCCATCCATCGCAACAACACTAACAATTACACAATAATTACCTCCCCTGCTGCCGCCACGGAGCGGTGCAGGGCGGCTGCTCCGGCCTCTGGAAGTGCTGCACAATTAGCCCTTAACCTCTGACACCATGTTTTCTCTGCACTGTAATGATGGTTCTGCTGCAAGACGTGTCGCAGCTTCTCATGTGTGCACAACTATTATAAGCCTAATCAAATTGTCCCTGTTCCATCCAAACATGTGGGTTTCATCAGCCCTCTGTCAGTCCTTGGACATTTGAAATGGTTCTGTTTTTGACTCCACGATTACACTTTTTTTCTTCACATATACACACAGGGTGCAAGAAAAAGAAAAAAAAAAACCTAATTTAATGATTTATATAAACGATTTAAGTTGGAAATATGATGGACTGGGTTGACATAATAATAAACTTAATATCATTTTAAATCAAATATCTGTGTTGGTTGATTTACCCACAAATTCCAAGCTTTAATATTTAATAAAATCATCTCAGTAATTTTATTCTCTACCTTAAGTTCAGTTGAGACTGGTAATTAAAAATACAGTTAATGTTAGAGGAAAAGCGTATTCTTCTACGTCAATGTTGTTTGCATGAATCTTTTTTCATGAAGATAACTTCTAATGAAATTACAATCAACCAACAAATGCGTTCATTTTTAAAGCATCAAAAGCAAAACATTTTCAAAAATTCAACAAAACTACACATAATGTTGTTTTACAACTGTGAAAATTCATTTTTGCTGTCCGTAAATCAGCTAAAAATGTCATTATTGTACAGATGTTTGCTGTCATTTTCAGTGTTTTTACAGTTTCTGAACATTTCAGTTTGGGGGTTTCGTTTACAGTGCATTGCAGGGTGCCTACATATTCACACCTCCTAAAAAGCATAAACAATAACTAGTGATGACATCACACCAGTCAAGACCCCTGAAGTACAGACCCCAGAGTACATAGTAGTAATTATTACATTACTACATGAGCACTCATGGGTTGAATCAGACTCATCTTTGAACTCAGCTGAACCCCGGCACTGTTTCATGACTGCATCGTTTATGCTGTTACTCTACTGCAGGTACAAAATCTGACCGACATAAACACCTGCAAAAGCACTCAAACCGTTATAGTATTTCCCACTACAGTCCGTGTCTCCAGACCACTTTTAGCCACGATGACACACACATACAAGGTAAAAACAATACCAGCCTCATCGCTGCAGCTGCTACTAAACACAAAACTCTTCACCGTCCTTCCCGTTACCTCCTTGTCCTCCATCGGCCTCTCGGTGCACCGAAGAGCAGCTCGGCGGACGCAGCACCATCTCCCATACGGGTTGCGTAAGAAAACCCGCCCACCATGTGTCACCGCAACACCTACAGACACTGCAGCGTCTAATCACGCCTCCACCGCAGCAGCTACCTGAGCACGGCAGAAATATGCCTCACTTAACCCAATCACCTGCCCCGCATATCATAAACAAATGTTATGCAACAGTCAGAAGTGCAGCAGCTGATGACGGAGATAAACAAAGTTATGGAAGCACTTTGGCAGAGTTACAAAGTCAAAGCAGCGAAACTTGATAGTCTCATAATACACGTTTGCCGTTTAGCCTTTGTGTGTTTTTATGTAACACTGTTCATGTATTTCTTATAATATTCTGACTTTTCTATTAGAAGTTTCAAAATCTATATTTTATATCACATGTTTTGGACTCTAACCTGAAACATATTTGAATGGAATTTGAATTCTAACATCCCTGGTAGGTGTAGAAACACATGCATCCATTTTTTATTTTTTATTTTTTTAAAATTCTCTATTAATTTAATTGGGATTTGTTGTTGTTTGGTGACCGGAAATCTTCACTTTTTCAATATATTCCACCAGTTTTGATACATTTACATGATAATCACAAAACAGATCGATAGAAAAAAAACTCAAAATGCATATCTATCTCCACCTCTCTCACTGTGAAGAGCATCACAGACTGGCACACAAACTGTGTTCGCCCGGTCGGGGGCCCCATCCCATTCAGCTCAGCACGTCCTATCCCATCAGCCCCGGCGGCAGTCACGGATTACTAGACGCACTGAAGCTCAAATCCCATCAGGAGGAGGGAAAAAGCATCTGAGAGGACGTGGCAGACTGAAGAGTCAGCACGAGTTCACCAAATGTCTGTGTTTGCGATTCCAATTCTGACTTTGCCGAAATAAAGATGGAGAAATAAATGTTCTCTCTGGAGGCTGAGTGGCAGGTTCTCTGCACCACATGCTGGCCCGACGCCAACGGGGTCACATTTCTTTGGCACGCACGGTTGTAAACATGTTAGCATGCATTTTTATACCGCGTTCCTGCAGCGAGCCTGAAGGATATTGATCAGTGATCCATTGCAGAAGCCAAACCGATGCAAAAGAAGCACCAGCACTCAAAATATCAGCCACCTGCACACAGCTGCTTTCATAAGTACACACCAGTAACATAGGAACCCACACTGGGACTGACCTGCATCTCCTTGTCTCCATACTTGGACGGGTGTTTGCTGCCCTGGCTCTTCCTGCGCAGCTTCTTCAACTCCGCCTGGCATTTCTCCAAACTCTCCCCTTTGCTCTTGTGCTCCATCTGGTACTTCTTCAGCGCAGCCTGAGGGGGGCAGCACAAAGTCAGCGGGGGCACGGCAGCGTTCGCATATTTTAAACCGGCATGCATTTGTTTTAGATTGACCTGACAAGCTCTTGTTTTTACCGCCTCATTGTTGCAGGACCAGATTGTTTTTTTTGAGTTAGCAGTCACTGGACCAGAGCTAGCCTCGGCCATTTTGGAAAAACCAAATGGATAACCCTCTACAAAATAAACTTACATTTGATGTTAAAAAGTGCCTTCTAATCACAAAAATTTCAATCATTTGTTAAAATCCGGTGCTGTACATCGCCAAAATGCACTACTTGTTTCATTTCCAAATCCATGACAGCACTCGCATATGTCTTCGTTTTGCATTAGAAGTTCAAGTGTCATTTTATTTGCTATATTCTACCCTCGCAATACTTGCTTATTCCTCCAAATTGTGTTATTTTGCCCCAAAATCTCACCAACATTGTTAGCTATGTGTAAAAAAAACTCAAGAAATAACTCCTTAAACTGCACCAACACAGTTTTTTTGTGTGCAGCATTTATGTACACTATTCAAACAACTCGAGAGAGCACGCAAGTCAAATTTAAAGGTGCAGTGCGCAAGATTTCGTGCCGCCTAGTGGTGAGCGTGCAGATTGCAGAAGATGGTTTTGCAACAAGGTGGACTCCATGTTAATTTCAGATGATTAAACATAATGAAATCATAATTATGAGCAGTATATTCCATTTCTGCCAATACATCCCTCTAAATCCTGCACGTTGGACCTTTAAAGCATGAGGTCATTTATGGCTCTGTAGCCCATTTGCATTTGAGTACATCATCATTTTTGACTGTAATATCCAAATGACATTCAGCCAAGAGCCTTCCAAACATGCTGATACGTCCTCTGTCTAAAATTATAAAATGTTTTTGGGACTTATTCCAAACCGCTGATTGCCATAAATGAATTTGTCCACATAAGTCGGTTCTTTTTTTTTTCTGCAAAAGTCCTCATTTCCACAGAATGACTCATAATTCAGAGTAGGAAGTAATTTATATAACTTGCTGCAGTGGTTTGGATGAAAGCTGCTGGAAAATTAAGGAGAGAGTGTGCATTTTGTCTCCAAGCCAGTGGTTTTATGAGAGCGTGGTTCGTACTGTATTTCCCATCACTCGGCTCCCCTGAGAGGCCTCGCTGACGTTAAAGGTGATGTTTTATTCAAGCTCGTGGTGGGTCAGGTACGCCGTTACATAATGAATCTCAATATGATGCCATGCGAATCTCCTCAAGCAGTAATAGCTAACATTAGTGCTCTGAATAATGATAGAAAAAAAATCATTCAATCAATAATTTAAGCTGGAATCTTCTTCACTAAAACTGCAAAAGAGGAGTGGTGCCTCAAAAAAAAAAAAAAAGAATTACATAACTTCCAGCTCGGTACAGATTAAGACTGAACATTTATGGGAAAAACTGCCAGAAATCACCGCCTATAAATGTCTATTTAACATATTAAGTGAAAGTGATAAGTGAAATCCGCCTCCAGCTTTGATCAGTCACTGTAGGTTCTCAGAAGATTTTCTCAATGATTCTTTCTGAAAAGCTGATATCTGCTAACATTACAAATGATAAATAATAAATGCTACGTATGCACACAATTAAAGACACAGACTGGTTTATATTTCTCCATTGTGCAGAATACCACAAAAAAAACTATTTTTCTCATATGTTAACCTGAATTTGGCTGTTTTTTGGTGGGAAATTACAGAAAAAAGGCTACAAAATGCTATAAAACGTGATTATTGTGAGTGACTCTTTTAGCTCTGCTTTGGTCTCCACCAACTTCTGAGAAAAAACAGCTTCTGCCTCCACCAGCTAGTTTCCAAATGTTTCTGTTGATTGTGCGCCGCAGGTTTATCAGCGAAACAGCTGCTTGCTGCCGCAGGAATCAACGTTTATGAGAGTGCTGAGGCTGCAAATACACTGCAAAGCCGAAACAATGAGCTAAAGGAGGCTAAAGGGCTCAGTAAAGGTTTAGCGGTAATTCTCTGGATTTGTCACATAACTCACAGGCTTGTGCAACACACTGTGGCCTTATAAAACACTGGGACTCTGTTTAACTGTGCATCGAGAAGGAATCTCACATTCAGGTAGCGTGCGTCCAGCTCGACCTTCTTCTCCAGCTCCGTGAGCAGCTCGTTGTGGAAAGACTTCAGCTGCGAGAAACACACACACACACACACACACACACACAGACACACAAACAGAAACCTCAAAAACAATGCAACAAACACGCATTAAAACTGAACCTCAATTAATCATACATGCTCAACCGCAGTGGCTCGTTTTGACAAAAAAGGAATGCAGAGCCCGTTTCGGCGTCGTGGCGCAAGAGCGACTCGAAGGGACGTATTTGTGTTGCCTTCGGAAATGCCACACCCAAAAGGATTATGGGAGGATGTGCGGCATGTGAAGTGCATGCCAAGACTATTTGTTGTCTTTGCACGTTCGGCATGTATTTGTGTGTAAACTGAGAGAGCAAAGTTGAACCAGAGGTTGTTTATATACAGCACAGATTACATCCTATGTTGGCTCGTAACGCACGAAAGAAACTTCTTTGCTGCACTTAGTGATCTCTTGTCCTCTTTCTTTCCCAGTTTTCATCTCTGGAATGTTTTGTTCAGCTAGCATCAGCAAGGGGTTAGCTTTAAAAGCAGGCACTTCAGCATTTTAGATTGCATTTTGAAGCGTAAACACAGTCGTATGTATAACAGAAGCTATAATCGTTTGCTGTTCACTGCCTTCTTTTGTATATTGTGCTGTTGTCACTGCTGTGGCTCTTTGACATCCATTATCCAAAAGATCGAGGACAAACAATTTCAAAAATACCCTTTAACATAATTTGCATAAAGACTAAATCCTGGCTGCTCCTTACTTCTTCTCTCGGTTGACTGAACATTTTCTTCTAATGTTGCCACAATTGGCCAATTTTCTCTTTGTCAGATTCAAAGACAGACCTTTGGAGAACTGAAATGAAAACGTTTCTCGGTCTGTAATGGCTGTAATTTACAAATCAGCTCAGTAAACACGTCGTACTTAAGTGAGGATGAGCCGCCGCCTTCAGAAAACTGGAGTACACTAGAAGCTACTCAAGTACGGTAAAGAGTGCGTCTTGCCGAGTATTAAATATAAAATATAGCATCTGATGTGGGAAGTCCAAAACAAAAGCCACCACAATCTGTTTGGTTCCCATCTCACGGCTTAAAAGAAGTGCTGATTTTAGCAACGTCGCCGCCACCAACCACCACCACATGCTCACCATCTCCTCGAGCTGGATCTGGATCTGTCTGTGCACTTCAGCCATCTGAAAGAGCACCTCCCCTGCAGAGAGAAGACAAAGAGAAGAGAGACAATAAACAAAAAGAGGGAGGGGAGAGAGAAGAGAGAGTGATATTAAATCTATGAGAGCTACATACATCGTGCAAAAAAAAATCAAAAATCAAAAAACAGACCATGCAGCCACACGGAACACATGAGAGACAAGGGTATGGTGTCGACGGGAGCGATGGACAGGATGAAACATCTGCCATGATGCTGACGTAGCAGACGAAACGCAAACCAGTGACCGAAACAAAAGAACACTACAGAAATATGCAGCACAGACTTAATGAATGAAAAAAAACCAAAAAACTAAAGAGTTACTCAAGAATCCTAGTGTTAAAATCTACTCAGAGGTTTTCCAGAGGTTCAACCAAGAGCTTGCAACACTACTTTGCATTAAGACATACGTTGTACTACAGCATAACAGGGGGAAAACACCAAAGAAAGCAGAACCCAGAAAGAAAATCAGAAGCTAGAAAACCAAAAGAGAAAGGAAAAAAAAGAAAAAAAAGAAAAAACACAAGATAAGTAGAAAGTAAAAGGATGATTCATGCAGCCAGGGAGGTGCGTGTTGTTTTAAGATACCTACATGCTGCCTCTTCTGAATATGCAATGCATTGTAAAAAAAGGAACAAAAAGATCTAGTTTGAGCAAAGAACAGAGGGAGAGAGACCTGGAGAGACAGTGACAGATCAAACTACCCCAAGAAAAATGAGACACACGACAGGTTTTCACACAGAAAAACACTCAGACAGGAAGTTAGTCAGGCCCTCCACTGGTTTACACTGAACCACTACGAGAGCCCAAACAATACTGGATTTTTCAAATTGGTATAAAAAAAAAAAAAAAAAGCAAATAATACCTATATCAACAATTTCATGTAATTCTGAATATTCCATTCTTTAACATCAGTATAATATCAACAACCATTTCTGATGTGATGCGTCAAACTTCTGAGATTATTTTTACACTTTTTCCTGACAAATCGAATAAAAAAAGTATTTTAATTGTTCAGTTTATTACTTGAACATCTGCCTCGAAAATCCAGTATCAGCCGAACTCTACAGCTGAAAATGAAACCTCACCATCAAAGATAGCAGGAAAATCAATATATTATGAAAATTACAGAGCAAATCTGTGAAATATTACATTACAACAATTTTAACTTGTATATGAAATACAAAAGTGTACAACTTAATCTAAACTTCATTTAAGAAGATAAGGTTCAGTTATGCATAAAAACACAGATTGTAAAACATGTTCTATTGCATGTCTATCAATATATTTGGCAATGCTAGACAGTGCGTTTGTTGTAAGCTTATATAACGACATAATATTCATATCATAAACTGGTAAGTAGGCCCTGGCACACGTCTGAGAACACCCCCAGTAACACATCCTACAGCTGCAGACCCAATTTGTTCCAAATGAGCCCACTTATATATGCTAACGACACCCATCCGGCTCCTGTATAATGTATGCTGACATCAGATAATGTATATCTGCTGCAGCGCTGACGTGAAGGAAACGCGAGCGTGGGTGGGTGTTTGTGGACCTGTGGACGCTGGACGGTGGGGACGCCGAGAGTGGGCTGGGATTAATGGGCTTAATGGAAGTGCTGCGGTCATGCAGATGAGACTCAGCTGGAGGCGAAGGGGATTTAGGAAAGGTCGGAGCAGGAGGTGGGGCAGAGGTGGAAGAAAAAAACAAGTGTATATTTACTCAAGAAGTGGACTCGAGTCCAGCTCTGAAGTGCTGGTGCTTAACTTGAGCATCTCCTCACATGCGTTTCAGATTGATGGATGTTTCTCGCGCTGCTTCATCCTCGCAGCTAAATCTGCACGCCTCGGGTTTACCGATCAATGGGTTGGTCGATATACTTTCATTTGACCAAATTTTTCATTGGTTGGAAAAAGCTCCAGTGTTGCTTTCATAAGGAGAAAAGCTCTCCATCAACATCCATCCAGGATTCATCGGTTATTTTTGGCAGCAAGAGGAACAGGCTGCCTGTGGACACCCCGGCGTTTTCACAACTTTGAACTGGCTCAGTTTAAAGACGACTGCTGGGTTTAACTTATTTAACATTTTCCAAGTCGGCTCAAAACTAACTGCTAGCATTGCAAAGTATTCGTCGGTGTGTCTGCGTTTTGGATGAACATAAAGTCAAGTTTTCATATCACAGCTCAACAACCAACAGGGCGGAGATTTAAAAAAAAAAAAGAAAAGGCAGCCGACTTGATATAGTTCTCTTTTTAAATGGTGATTTCAGTACCAAAAAAAAAAACAACAGACAGAATCTACAGACAACATGTCAATTTTTATTCTCCGCAATGAATCGATTGGTTAAAGAGTAGTAATGACTTCAGTTTACCAATGTTTTCTTTGTTTTAGAGACGTATTCGCAGCAGCAAACCGCACTCCTCTCGATACGTAACCTTCCAAAGATATCACACATGCATACGGGGGAAATCTGGGTTCGGAAATATCTTCTGGACCCGAGCGCGCAGGAAAAACACACAGCAGTTTTTGTCCCGAGCCTACTTTACAGCCACCCATCTGCTTATGAAAATGCATCGACAGGCCATAACACCGTGGAAGTGTTTGACTGCAGCAGGACAGGGCATTAGGGGCAGCGAGGCAGATAAATGCACCGGCGTGTACTTTCAAACTCTCCTTTGATTCTTGGAGGGCACCCAACACACACTTCCATCCCATCCATTAATAAACAGCCACTGGCCATCGACAAGCTCCGGCAACTGGGCTGAACTCAAGCACCTCATTCTCTCACACACAATTATACTGATGCTGATCCCAGCCAGAGGGAAACCAGAACACTGCATCTTATAAAAAAAAACAACACATTAAACAGAGAGCAGAATTAACAGGCTGTTAGTTTCCACATTACAACAAAATATCAGCAGGCTGGAGCTCTTTCAGATAACGTTTTTCTTTGTTTATCTATTTACTCGTGTTAATTTTATGTGTATTGTTTTCATTTTGGCTCATTTTAGTGTATTTTCCTCCAAATGTGTTTCCATTCATCCTGTAGATATTCTGCACATATCTCAGCGTTCATACTGTTGATACTATTTATTGCATTTACACTTGAACATTTATTCATTTCATATTGTATTGACAGCTTAATATTCATATACTTAGTGTGTCCATGTCACACTGTAAAACACAATGTAATGCACTATACTGCTTCTTTTGCACTTCTGTTGAAGCACTTGTACACTCTGCAATGACAAGAAAGATTAATCTAATTTAGTGTAATCTCATATACGAGCTAAATAAATTGTCCAAATTGAATTATGCTTCAAATATTTATAGCAAGGGACTCAGGGGTGCGTACAGGCCACCTTTGAATCCCTTCTTTTTACGGTTTTAATTTGATTTACTCGCTAAAATCTCTCTAAATAGCATTTTCTTGCTTCCATAACCCAAATCTGAGGGTCAGACTTGAAAAGAAATGTTGACAAGTTCAACCGGAGTTTCATAATTTTCCTCAACTAATTAGGTTAAATCAGCAAATCTGTATTTTCTTGAGGAGTTCCCCTGGGTCTTGTCTCGGGTTACATAAAGGTTCACCAAATCCCCAGATCCGTGAGCTTTCAAAAGGATTGTGCAGCCTCATTGAAGCAAAAAATTGCTTTGACCTTTCCGTGGGATATTTTGTGGAAAACTTACACCAACTACAGCGGATACAACAGCAAAGATATATCGACGTCATCATCTATGTTGTGTCTGATCTGTACGGATATTAAATGAAAGTAATGCAGAAGAAGAGGCTCGTTGTAATTTAAAACTGGCATTACAGGTTATCCAAAAGAGAGCCACTCAACTTGTTTACAATCTTCTCAGGAGTTTCGGCAGCGCATGTAGCAGAGCATGCAGCACAGACAGTGGTGCAGAGCTAAGAGGCGTCTTCACACACTTTATAACTTCAAAGTAGTTTACAACAATTTTTTAGCTTTTAACAGCTTAGAAATGTAGGAAATAGCATCTATTTATATGTTTTCGAATTCAAGAAACTTCTGAAAGCAAACTTTTGCCCTTAAACACAAACACACAGTGACCCTAATTGATCAAAGTCCTCCTTTTGGTGACCTTACACTCCCACCACAAATCAGCTACTGTACAGAGTGAAAGAAAGAAACCGAGAGAGAGAGACATCAATTCTCATCTCTGCTCCGTCTTCACCCCACTTACTCATTCCTCCTCAGCCAATATAAAGCCTTTCAGCTGGGAATGAAACACAGCCGCAGGATTAACTGCACCTCACACTGTGCTCGCATCCATAAAATGCAGCCCCGGTCATTATTTCAGGCTTTTATAACAGATGTGTTCATCTATAGAGTAATTAAAGGTAGACTTCATTGATCCCTGAGGGGAGGCAGCCTTCACTCCCGTCCTCCTCCTCAGGCAGGTCAGAGTTCAGCTCCACAACAACTCTGAGAGCTTCAGTGTCTCTTCACTTCACACTCCAGTTGAGCAGATGGTGAATCAGAGGTCACCCCGCCACCAGCTGCTGCAGCCAATAAAATACGCTGGTTTGATTTTTTTATTTTTTATGCTTCTGAAGGGTAGTTCTGGTTGATTACAACTTGGAGCTTATTTTATAGTCTTCAGAGTAGTTGCTACAGTGAACTTTGACAGTGCAAAACACGCTGTTATGCATGCACATCTACTTTAATGGCAATAAATGGAACCAGGAGGTTGTGATGTAATGTATGTTTGTGATCCCAGCCAGAGGGAAACCAGAACACTGCATTTTATTAAAATGAGCGCAGAATTAACAGGATATTAGTGTCCAGATTATAACAAAACATCTGCATGTTGTTTGAGATAACATTAATGTTAATTTTGTTTGTATTATTTTCATTTTGGCTCCTTTTTTTTTTTTTCCCCCTGAAATATCTCAGAATGGGGCTGCAGGGTGGCACAGGTGGTTAGCACCGTTGCCTCGCAGCAAGAAGGTCGCCGGTTCGCGTCCCGGTGGGGGCACCGGAATCTTTCTGCGTGGAGTCTCCATGTTCTCCCCGTGCAGCGTGGGTTCTCTCCGGGTTCTCCGGCTTCCTCCCACAGTCCAGAAACATGCTGAGGTTAATTGGTGATTGTAAATTGTCCGTAGGTGTGAATGTGAGTGTGCTTGGTTGTCTGTCTCTAAGTGTAGCCCTGTGATAGACTGGTTACCTGTCCAGGTGAACCTGCCTTCACCCTGAGTCAGCTGGGATAGACTCCAGCCCCCCACGACCCTAGTGAGGATTAAGCGGTGTATAGATGATGGATGGATATCTCAGAATACAATTTCTTTCCAGTAGTTTGGCTGATTACAACTCAATGTTTAAAGTCCTCACCAGAGCAACAGCTGAAATCTGGGAAAACAGTGATGCTGCTCTAATGAAGTTAGACAGTGCAAAATGAAAAACTATGAATGCACATCTACTTTAATGGCAAAAAAAATCAGCCCATGAGGTTATGAGGTTTGTGCAGGTTTGTTTAAAACTTGCTTTCAGAGATCTGTTTAAGTCACAATGCCATCGTTACCAGTGATCATGAAGGACAATACGAGTGAATCATCCTTTAAAATCCCAACTA